GCGTGTCCAACTTGAAGGACGAAGGACGGTCGGACCCTGGCCCTGTGCCTTGCAGCTGCGCTCCCGGCTCCGGCCGCAGACCCGTGGCTGGCGGTGCCTGGCCAGGCTGAAGGACCAGCGGGCGGTGGGGCCGCCTCACCGCAGGACAAGCCGGTGAAAGAGGCCGCCCTTCCCGGTCACCTGGACCGAGGCAGAGCCCCAGGGCCCGCGCCCTTCCAGATGTGGCCGCAGGTTGTCCCAGGCTCAGGGCCGGGCAGCTGCACACTGCGGTCAGGGCTCAGGGTGGAGTCAGGGTGTGGGGCCAGGGCCCCCGGGGCTGCACGGCAGGGCTCCCCGCTGGTGTCACTTGAGGCTTGCCCCCCACTGGCTGCTCTGGGCCTGGAGACCTGGGACTGGCTCCCTTTGCTTCGAGTGGGTCTCGTCATCGTTTTGGGTGTCGCCTTGTTCACAGTGGCCCCTGCCCCCCGGCTGGCCGCCGCAGCATGTGTCAGCCATCCTGCGGCTCGCTGGGGGATTGTGTCCCCCACTCTGGCCTGGGGGAGCCGTCCGCGGGAGGTGGGTGCCAGCCGCCCTCACTGGGCAGCCCGGGGCGCCTCGCAGAGATTCTCCCAGATGGTCCAGTTACCTCACTTTGTTCTGGGGTTTTGAGGGCCAGGGTGGAGCTGGGGCAGTGGGACAGGCCCCTCCTGGTCCACAGGGGGCCCTGGCCCTGGGGCGGGGGCTTCACGGTGCCCCCTAAGGTACTGAGCAAGGCTGGGGGGCAGTCAGAGGCTGTGCCCTGCTGGCTTCTGTGTCCTGGCATCCAGCCTGGCTCCGGAACCCAGTGGGGGGGGCCTGGGAACACCCAAGCCCCAGTTCTGACGCCTGCCCCGCGCCCACTGCCTCACTGCCCAGCCTCCATGCTCCGGGCTGAGACGGGGTGCGGCAGGGTGCAGGCCGGGGACACAGGTCTCAGGAAGCCGCGTCAGAGCCACAAACTCCGTCAGCGTTTCAGTGTGAGTCAGACGAGCCACATGTGCCCTGAGTCAGCTGACGTGTCCCCTGCCCACAGCACAGGTCTGGCTGCTCCCAGCAGGGTCCAAGGCCCTTGCTGAGAGCACCAGGGTCTCAGGGCCTCAGAAGCACCACAGAGGCGGATGGTGCGCTCGCCCAGCTGGGGGGCTCATGGGTCAGCTTCCATGGGCTTCAGCGGTGACCCCGGCCCCTGCTGGCTGTGAGGATCTGGCTATGAGTAGCATCGCTGGCCCATGTCAGGAGTGGGAGGGTGGCGTTTGGGGAATCGGCCTGGGGTGACAGGGCCGCCCAGGCAGGGTCCTGAGAGCAGGCGTGAAGCCTCTGGAGCCTGGAGGCCACGGGCCACCCCCGTGAGGAGCCCCAGCTTGCTGGCTGCAGACAAGCCCATGGTGGCCTCTGCAGGGTCCAGACAGAGCCGTCTGCCCCGCGTCCCCTCCGTGTCTCCTCCAAGGGGCCCAAAGGTGCTCCAGGAGGGACCGTTTCAGCAGCGGTTCCCAGAAGCCACAGTGCCTCAGTGAGGAAGCAGCTATCACTCTGTGAGTCATGCCAGCCAGTGCTGTCCCCATGTCACCACAGGAAGAACCTGGCCTCAAGGTTCTTGAGGACAGGGATGAAGTGGAAGCTAGGCCAGCCCCGTGCTGCAGGACGAAGGTGCCGCAACTCAGCTGGCTCCATCTTTGGTCCGGCGCTGACCTCTGTGGAGGTGAGGAGGGCCAGGCCCCAGGGTGCACAGCGCGCACGCTGCCTGTTATTCCTGCCCCGTGATGTGGGCAGCTTGGAAAATGCTAGAACCGAGTGACCGTCCACAAAAACAATCCACAGTGACCAATACCTGTG